TATACTCATTTCCCACGACCGGACGCGAGACATGTCATGTTACCCAAGCAGGGTGACGGTCCCGTGTTCACCCAAGAAATGGTTACCAAAGCGTTTAGCAGTTTTAATCTTTTTAAGGCAGCCGGAACGGATGGTTTATTTCCCGCTCTACTACAGAACGGCGCAGATCTACTGTCTAACCGCATTGCTAGCATATATAATGCTTGTGCCCAATTAGGGTACACGCCGAATAGATGGCAGGAAGCCAAAGTTAGCTCCAGACCGAAACCGGGAAAGGAAAACTACTTCTAGCCAAAATCTTACAGACCGATCAGCCTAACATTCTTCCTACTAAAAAGTATGGAAAGGATCTGCGACGATCTCATCAAACGACAAATCCCTCCAAACTGATGTCATGAATTAGTTATATGCTAAGCAATAGACGAGCCATATAAATCGCTCACCAGATTACTCGTGGCACTCCGCAAGAACAAATCCTTTCCCCTTTGCTTTGGGTCACCTTGATCAATGAACTATTACAACTTCGCGACAGGGAGAACTTCAAGGTCGTCTGCTACACGGACGGCCTCGCTGACCTCTGTTCAGGTTGAATCTTAATTACCAATCCCGGCACATAGAAAGGAGCCTTGAGATCTCCGCCAATTGGGCAGAGGGTCACTACCTAACTGTTAGTCCGGAGGAACCAGAAATCTGAAGGACGAAAACTTGGCAATTCAATCTCCCATCCTTAAGGGGAATAACTGTACTCTCGAGCTCAGTCAAATATCTTGGTGTAATCTCAGATAATAAACTAAGCTGGAAAGAACACATTGAGAGTAGGACTTCCAAGGCCCTTGGAATATTGAATACCTGCAGAATATCCGTTGCCACAAAGAGGGGATTACGACTCCACATGATTTCTTTACATGTGTCTTCCACGCCATACTAACGTATGGTGCAGTAGTATGGTGGGTGGCATTATCGAAAAAGTGTCGTATTAAACCCCTGAAACAGATCCAACAAGCACCAGGAATTAAATACATCATTTTCATTCCCCAGTAGAGAAGATTAGACCAATGGTTCTGCGGTCGACAGTTCAAACGGCGAAATCTACGTATTCACTGACGGATCAAAAGGTGAAATAGGAACAGGAGCGAGCTTTTTCTGCAGTAATGTGTACACAGAAGGCAGCTTCAAACTAAATAATTACAACTCAGTCCTTCAGGCCGAAATTGTGAGCAGTACATAAGGAGCCACGTGGGCTTCTGCTCTAACCAGCAAGTCCATAAACATCCTAGTTAATAGCCAAGCCGCAATTGAAGCCATTCATAGCGTCAATACTAAGTCTCATTGCATTAGATTATGCAAGCAGGCAATAGCTAGACTTCTGGAAGCTTCTTCAGGTTCTTCAAGAATTGTTTGAAGCAATGGACACTAGAGAAACATCCTAGGGCTTGGAACACAAGCAACAAAGGGTTGTGGTATTCCCTTTGTTGTAACTTTGGTATGGTCTTGATTGTGGACAGACCAAAAAGCTACTACTTCTAGGCAAAAGAGAGCTTAGCAGCATTGTAGGGGTTATCACAAAACACATCTGCGAATGCCCAACCTTTAGCCGAATGAGAAGAATTTGCTGGATTAAGCTTTAATTGGTTACCATCCGGCGCTCAGTCACCTGTTTTTTCAACCAACAAACCAACCAAGAAAGTACGTTCTAAAATTCGCCGCTTTCACAGAAGAGCGTGTACATTTCCAAAGTTCTTCTACAATTATAAAGAAGCAAAATAGGTGCAAATTAAGAATATTAACCGAGTTACGGCCCAAAATCTACTAAACGAAAACTTTGTTAAAAACTGAATCTCAGTGGATTGAGCTTTTGGTCATTCTGTCAAAAACTGTTGATTCTAAAGATATTTCGCAAGAGGAGGCCAACAGTTTAGCAAACCTAAATAGGTATTAACTCGATCAGATGCGGTTACTTTTGCAAGACTATCGACAAATCCTTAAACTTTTTAAAGAGTATGCCGTCGTTTTTGGACAGCATTTTTAAAAAACATTTACTGGAGAGTGGAATTTCAACCGAGAAGTTCTCTGTATTTATATTGCATGTATTGCCTTAATAATGCTTCCAGAATCAACCTTCAAGATCCTCAGACACTTATTGATATCAATAATTTCATTGACAATTACATTTCTACAGATGGTTCGGTCAGCCACTTAGAAAACTATTTATGTTACCAAAAGCAGGACCAAAGTCGGCCTTGTACTAAGGAAATAAGAAGACAACAGACTGAGAAACGTTTTTGAATGGCAAAACCTAGAGCGGAACTTTAGAACCATCCTCGACCTTCGACTGAAATATTCGCAGCCGATATTTTAAACCGTTATGTTCAGCAACCCGATCAGTTAGAAACTTAAAATTAACTAATTTTGCTTTTATGTATAAATATTTTAAATCCAGTACAAGAGCACAAGACAGTAATCATGTGGAAGAAGAAGGGGAAGATGATAATTTACCAGAAAGTGGGGTTGTCATTCCTCTTAAAGACGGCAGCGGTTTTGTTAAAAGACGTACCAAACCATTTATAATTCGGTATAGAAGATTTAGCTCAAATGTGGTCAGACAGAATTGAGTATCCATGGCGAAATGCATTTCATTAAAAACGATAATGAGCAGAGTTTCAAAACACATCTTATTCGAATTGAGAAAAATCAGAGAAATTATGGTATTTTTGAGCAAAGAGAACTTGAAAATGTCCTATAAAGTCTTTATAATGAAATAGACTAAAATAAGGTGCACAAAATGAGCTACCTCTTGTGGAAAATGAGTTCAGGGTGTTGGCTCTTCCTAAAAAAATACCAAATATTAATTTGTTGGACTTGAATGGTGAAAATTCAGCAGTTGAGGAATTACTTTCTTTACTTCAAAGTCTAAATATTAAGCAAAGAACCTATTTGACACATTTGATGCACCAGCTAAAAACAAGTCGCCCATTTTATGAGTTTATTGGCTGCGGTGCAGGTGTGGGAAAGAGTTGTTTGATCCAAGTGCCATGAAAGTTCTTCTTTGCGCACCTACAGGTGAAGCGGCATTCTAAATAAGTGGACTTTACCTGTCAACCAGTTGAATAGAGAGTTGAGGCTACTTAGCCATTAGATAACTAATTCATTGTATTCCATACATCGATTTAAAACGAATCATAATTGATGAAATATCCATAGTAGGCGTAGCTCTGTTGATACGAGATTAAAACAAATATTTATAACAGAGAGCCCTTTCGGTGGTATACCGATCATAGGGTTAGGTGATTTGAAGTAACTCTCACCAGTTGGAGACAGGTGGATATTATCTTCCAATCCCAATGATGCATATAGCACTTTAGTTGGTTCCTCTTTATGAGAGTTATTCAAATACTTTGAATTAACAGAAATCATGAGGCAGAGGGAGGATCAGGCTTTTGCTATAACATTAAAAATCACAGCCAAATATATGATTACAGTGAATATAAACACGTGTAATGGGTTGGTTAATAGGGCAACTGGATAACTTATGCAAGTTGATTTATATTGTTATTTTCCAGCAACTCTGGGGACTAAATTCTTGGAGCCTTCTGTTGGTTTGATAGCCTCATCATCTAGAAAGTTCTTGGACACCAATTGAAAAAGTTCGGAAATTTTTTTAGTATAAAAACAAGTTAACAAATTTCAACTGAAAGAAATCAATTTTCATTAGTTGCAGCTAAGGGTATAAGTATTCATAAAAGTCAGGGTGCCACATATAATAAAGTTGTAGTTCATACTTGACCAAGAAGGCCCACAGCCCGAGGCTATATGGTGCTTACAATCGAGCTACTACTGCACAAAGTCTCTTCATTATAGGAAGTTTTATTCCCCAACAAATTTTCTAAATCAGATCCAGTATTTAGGGAACTGATGGAGTTGAACACAACTAAAGCTCTGACGAAATTCAGCACTTCAAATTTTATTTCATAATGTCACGTCTCCACGTTCATATTAATGATATAAAATGCGACTGCGTGATGCTTTTTTCAGATATTTTATGTTGTGTGGAAACTTGGAGTTATTCTTGAGAATATTTTGGAATACCAGAATTTGGAATACGGAATTATAGTATATGCAAAGCATTGTATTACTGGCTCTATAGATCCAAAGGTTATAAAAAAAATGCATTCAGTCCGCAAAGTTTTGGAAGCGGTTTTGTTTAAATGTTTCAATATTAATGTTCTGGTTCTTTACAGAAATTCAGCTTTTTCTGTCAGACATTTACTGGCAGAACTTCAGCGAGTCCTAACTTCTGAGTATGCAATCAAAATGTGCTAATTCTTGGAGAGTTTACCATTTGTCGAAAGTCTACAGGGACTACAATGTTAAATCTGCTCCATGAAAAAAACTTTAGTTCCCTTGGTGCAGAATATTCAACTACACCTGCGAGTACACAAATCGATTGGGCATTTTCAAACATAGATCTTTCCTATGTTAATGCAATTACGTATGAGACAGTACACAGCTATTATGTCAGTATTTGTGATTATATTTCGAACTAAAGTTTTTAGGCTTAGTGCAATAGTTTTTCTTGGTTTTTTTTCAAACATAATAGCATTAGAATGGTATAGCTATTCTGACAGTAGTTTTTAAGAAAAATATACTAAAATAAAGTACATTAATATTCTTAAGAAAATTTAAATTATATGTGTTATTTGTTATTACGTAAGAATTTTTGTAAATACAAGATATAAATTAAATAGGGTAAGAACAAATGAAATGTCATTTGGATAAATGTTGTTAAATGAATGTATGGTATATATGAATAAACCTAAGTATATTTAAAGAATCTCTATAAAAATTTATGTTTAAAATTGCGAAGTTTACATATAAATTATATATTTGATATATTTTTTAAGGTTAGTGATATTTATTACTTTAAGGTTAATCGTGTATAATAACATTGATGTAAGGAATTCAACTTTTTATTCTTTGTCAAAAAACGATTTCTTTTCATATTTCTCAATATAGTTCTAATGTTGTTGTTGTTATATAAAATCGATTATAATTGTATACAACAAAACTCAAGTACGATTTCACACCATTTCTGTAAGCTTCGTATACAAATTTCTCTAATTAATTTCACTGCGAATGTAAATAACTCAGTCAACACTCCTAATTCTAATTAAATATATGTATACAGAAATCTCATATACCACTTTACTTTTCGAGAGTATAAAATGTCCATTTACATTCGAATATAGGTAGTCCTTTCTTACTTGTTATACTTATATGTTACTCAACATCAATATATCTCGATTAGTTTTAGATGTTGCAAACAATAGTGAGGCGAACAAAACTATTATACTCGGTTGAGTACTTTGTTTAGGATGAAGAAATCTTTACTTTATTCGTTGTGTGTATGAATGTGGATGAAAAAGATGCGAGCTAATTTTACATTTCTTTGTGATTTATCAAGTGCAGCCTGTTGTATTCTCGTTCCTTACCGGACAAACATTCAAGATAAAAATGATAGGATTTGCCTGATCTAAGCGTATTCGACTTACGTACTCTAACCTAAGCCGACAGCCTGAATTTCTGCTGAGATTAATTTTCGTTTCCATTAGTAGGAAGCTTGATTTCTTTTCTTCTCAGAATAATGAATCTGATGCACATATATGAATGTTTTTTTTTCGCTTAGTACTCCGAAAAATTGGTTGGTACACACCTCTAAGAGAGGCTCTCGAATTATGAACTCTTAATTGTTTTAATTGTCCTCTTACGTCCATACCTTTTCTTGCCCCGTTATCGAACATAGGGAATCAAAAATTATGTCTTTTTCATTGCAATTTTAAAAGTAATTAAAAATGTCTTGTTTAGTGTAAACAAATCAAATTTTGACACATCAATCAATGTATTACCCTCCTCCCATGTTGCGAGTAGTTGAATAATATGGTTCCCAGACATTGTAGGCAAACGGATCGCGATAGGTTGGTATTTCGTTTGTAATTTCTGCGGCTCGAGATTGTCTCTTAGAAAAACTGCAAATATGATAAAAAAGTTGTCTCATATAAAATATAATATATACATACATATAACAATAATAAAATTTGTTAAGTTAGCAATCCGGGTCGTAAAAGTCCTTTAGTGTTGTCATACTTACATCCACATTGCACGTAATTGTTCGCACGTTGGTTCTTGTGCACTCAATGGAAAAGTTTTTGGCACGACTATTTCACCACCGGTGTCTGCTGGACTCTCGAGGGCAGCGGCTGCAGCTGATGCCGCATTATTTACGGTTGTTCCTAGACCAGCGTTTGTAGCATCCACTTCAAACACTCCCGATGAACTAGCAGCTACTTTCGTCGGCGTGCCATAATCCATCGATCGGGCATTTAGTGACGATAGTAATGGTCCATGACTGTATTTAATTGATTCAGCCTCAGCCCCGCGCCATAGGTGGTTGAAATGAAAGATACTGGAGATGAGAAACAATAGCAATTGCCGCGATAGCTAGTAAATGTAAAAAAATACATTTAATAATAATTGCATGTAAAGTAAATTTAGTGGATATTGATAATTCATATTAGTATGCTTGTATAAATCTTTAGATCACTTATTCATTGTAAATAAAATAGTCAAGGCACATAGACATACATACAGATTTGTATGTACATAGTTAAGATAGATTGAAATTTGAGGAATGCGCTGCAACCTGTGGTTTATTGTTCCCTCTCCTGTTAATATTCTCTTTGGCCACAGAAGCGACACAAATCCGGGGAGGCATATTCTAATCTGTGCAAATGATACCGCAGCCTGCCTTAACGGACTGGTTGCCGCAGCGTCTTTCGCCAGGAGATCGGCTATTAAGAATTATTATTAAATTTTATTTAAAAATCATCGGAATGATGAGACAAGTGCAAATCTAGGTGACTTTCTGTCCATCTTTGACCATGCAAGCGGTATCTTGAGTAGAAATTGAGATATCGGGATGAAACTTGGTGCACGTGTTGGCACCCAAGGGAGGTTAGTATTGAATATGATGAATGTGATGAAACTGAAATGATTACTTGGTCGGATTTATATGGATTGGACCACAGTAATCCAAGCCACTACAAGAGAATGGCAAGTACAGATTACTTTGGGAAGCCATTTATTGGCAATAGATAATGTCGGGTTGCTTGTTTAATTATATAATATAACAACAAGTGAATAGGTATTTCTAAGAGAAATGGAAATTATATATATTTTTTCGCTTGAAAGCTGTATGCCTATTATGATCTAAGACTTTGTTGTCATTAAAATAATATAGTATAACTAGAAACAAGTAAGGAAGGGCTAAGTTCGGATGTAACCGAACATTTTATACTCTCGCAAAGTCAAATGGTATACTCGTTTGAGATTTCTTTGTGGATTGACTGATATTTTCGGTAGAAGGTCAACTGTAGGCATTGGGGTCGACATATTTAGTACTTAGGGGCTTGAACAGTTTTGGTTCGATTTAGACAATTTTTGGTCACAAGGTGGCATACTTTAAACTTATTATTCACGCAAAGTTTTACCCCGATATAATCATTGTTGCTTGATATGCATAGTGGAAAGTGAAAGAATCAGATGGAATTGAAAATGGTCGATTTCGCCCATTTTCGCACTATACCATAGAAATATGAAAAGAACGTTATGCACCGAATTTGGTTGAAATCGGTTAAGCTCATCCCAAGGTATGGGTTTTCACCTAAAAGTGGGCGGTGCCGCGCCCACTGACTAATTTTGAACGCGGTTTCTATAAAGTCATCTCATACCATCCCAGAGATAAAATTTAATGTCTCTGGCGTGTTTAGTGCTTGGTTTATCGCGCGTTTAGTATTTTTTAACAGTACCGTTATATGGGGAGTGGGCGGGGTTTTCACCCGATTTCATCCATTTTCACACCGTCAATAGAGGTGTTAAAACATTTGCTCCCAGTGAATTTGGTTATTATAACTTTCGCGGTTTAGGAGATATGCACATTAAACTTATTAGGGGCGGGACCACGCTCACTTTCACAAAATTTTAACTGCATATGCCCCTCCCTAATGTGATCCTTTGTACCAAATAACAGTCTTGTATCTTATTGCGGAGCTTAGTTATGGCAATATATTTGTTTTTGATTAATGGCGTTTTGGGGGCGTGGCAGTGGTCCGATTACGCCTATCTGCAATACCAACTGTCTTACGGTACCAAAAAACATGTGTACCAAGTTTCATGAAGATATCTCAATTTTTACTCAAGTTACAGCTTGCTCGGCGGACGGACAGACAGTCACCCGGATTTCAACTCCTCTCTTCACCCTGAACATTTATATATATATAACTCTATATCTAACTCGATTAGTTATAGGTGATACAAACAACCGTTAGGTGAACTCTGTAGCAACAAGTTGCGAGAGTATAAAAACGTTAATATTGGTTGCTACGAAACTATAATACCTCCACAGGTACATTTATTATAGCTATATATATATTTTTTTTCTTGATTTTGTTCGGTCGGTTTGAATGGCAGCTATAAACTATATTAGTCCGATCTTCACAATTCGAAAATTGTGGTGATGCCTTGGATGATAATCTGTACCAAATTTCGTGAAGATAACTTTTCAAATAAAAAAGTTTTCCGAACAAGAACTTGAGTTTAATCGGTCAATTTGTATGGAAGATATATGCTTTAATTGTCCGATCTAAACAATTTCTTGGAAAATTTCTGAGGTTCTGAGAATGTGCAGTTTCTTAGGGAGAAAACGACGTGTGCGAAATTTCAAAGCGATATCTCATAAACTGAGAGACTAGTTAGCTTATAAACAGGTGGACAAACCGATGGATATGGCTAAATCGACTCAGCTCGTCACGCTGTTCCTATTTAGTATTTTAAGGGTGATCCATTTTGAGGTTCCCTACTTTTTTAGGAAAAAAACACGGAAATTTAAATTAAATGGGGAATGTTTATTATCTTTCGAAAATAAATTCTTTGACATTTATTTTTTGAAGATTATATCTTTCCCATGTTGACCGCGGCTACGTCCCAGATGGTCCATCCGTTGAGTCCAATATTCGAACACTCGTTCGAGCATTTCGACTAGTAACTGGCGAATGACGCGCTTGATATTTTGCTCCAAGGACTGAATAGAAGCGGAATTGTCCGCATATACTTTAGACTTTACATTACAAGAAAAAGTCTAACGGTGTGATATCACACAATCTTGGTGGTCACTCGACCGGCGCAAAACGTGAAAATGGTAATTTTGTTTGCATACCCATTTTCTTTGAACTTTTAAAGAGCAAATAGAGCGAAGCGATATCGCTCTGGAAGGTCGAGCGGCTATAGTTCTTGCATAAGCTGTATTTTGTACGCTTTCAATTCAATCAAAATCTCGACGTAAAATGCGCCAACTCGTTCCATGCATCAGTCCGAGTTGATGCGAACGGCGCCGAATCGACTCTCCACAATTTTCGTGTACACTCTCAGCTACGGCCGCTATATTTTCTTCACTGCGGTCGAATATTATCCAATAAGGAATGCTGGGTCTCAATATGAGTAATGGTGTTGCGAATAGTACGCTCAGTAGGCCAATTATGTTGACCATAAGTTGAGCCAAGCGCGCGAAACACATTTACAGAACGTGAATTTTCGATTTGCAAACGTTGTTCAGGCGTCTTTCCGTGATGTAATATTACACAATATTAAACAAAAATTACATGACAGCTTGACACGCCTAACCCGTTATCTGCCAACAAAGGCTATTGAAAAAAGTACCTGTATTTGGATATCCGATGTGTCCGATGCCAGAACACTGTAGTGTCTTTCAAGCAGAATTGGCAGCAATTAAGGTAGCAGCACATGTACTTCAATGAATTACGGCTTCTTTTAGGGAGGTATGCATCCACTCCTATACAGGCCTTGACAATGAGCTCAAAGCAAGTCAAGGAGTGCATGACCTCACAAGCAGTAGTGCCAAGCTTCCTCTATATTAAAATTGTCTGGGTGCCTGGCCACACCGGAATCGTCGGAAATTATAAAGCCAATCAGTTCGCTAGAAAGGGCACCCTCCCACATTCGATTAGGATGGGAATGAGCAGATTGTTTTTTTTTAACGCATTATTTGCAACCCTGTAGGTGTCCTAACAGGACACTGTCCCATAGGCACTCTCGCGGTGAGGCAAAAGATGTTTCCGACCATTATCATCCATGAAAATATCGCCACGTTCGATTCCGAATATATCCAGACTTGGAAGATAGGAGTTCTCCAGAATATCAATATAGCATCCCCAAGTTCATCTCCAAATTTCATCACTTGATATATGTTGCGGTCCTGTACACCAACCTGTTTGCCAATCCATGTCCATGACCACCCATCTGATCCTATTCGATTAATTTTGGTTTCATCGGACCAAGTAACTTTCCTTCAATCATCGATGTTGAAGTGTTCACTTTCTTGATGTACTTCAATCAAGCCTTACGGTGCTTAGCACTTAAGAATTGCGTTTTACCATCGCTCTAGCCTTGAGCCAGTAATTTTTCAGGCAACTTCATACTGTCTTGTCACTGACATTGACTCCATGGACATCTCAGATGACGTCATTAGATTCCACAGCGGTATTTGTTCCTCCTGCTATAATTAAGCGCCTGCCAATTCGTGGAAAAATTGGAGGCAACTTCTGCAGACGGCCTCCACTCTTTCTTGATAATGATTGATTATTCTGTTTTTTATGTTTGCAAACAATTATTTACAACCATGAAATGAATCAAAACTGACCATCGATCAAGATTAAGGGATGCACGATTAGAAAGCCACATACATGTAGCTACCTCTTTAACAGGCTGAGAATCATCAGCTTATGTCGAAAAACAATCTTAAATTTCTCATAAAAAAAATTAAGTAAATTCGTTTTTCTGTTTTTTTTTTTGATTTGCATTAAACTTTGTATATGTTATCGTTACTTTTTTAATACGCTTTTATTAGCTTGGGTTGTATGTATGTAATGGAATCTTAGATCTCAATTTTCACCGGTTTCCAGAAGTTTGAACGACTTTAAACTTTGCAGACATGTCAAGGACCGATGACAATGCAATACTTTGATAACAGTTTCCCAATACTTTATAGGTGGACGAAACCCCGCCCCTAAATTGTTTAATGTATATATCTTCCAAACCGCTAAAGCTAACTCACCCAAATTTGCTGAGAGGAAGTCCTTTTAGCCCTTTTTTATAAGCTTTGAAAATAAGCAAAATCAGATAATAAAAACGCACACTCTCCATATAGCAGTTATGTTAAAATATACTAAAAGTGCGATAACTGACGAAATAAATGCGCCATAAGCATTAAATTTCACAAACAAGATGGTAGGGAAGAGCTTTTTAGGAGGAGGTGTAGAAATTTTGAAATGGGCGTGGCAACACCAACCTTTAGGTGAAATCCTATATCTCAGAAACAATCGAACCAATGTCAATCAAATTTGGTATGTGAGGTTACCCAGCCATTC